CTGTTTGAAAAATGCAACAAATGCCATGCCTAGCAGACCGAGAGGGCGGAGCCTCTAACAAACAAACACACACACACACACAGAGTGTGTCCGAATCCACGGGAAGGATGCTTGTAAGAGTGCATTTTGGGGTTGATGACGTCACAGCGCAGCGACGAGTACTGTCCGAATTCCAAGAATACTCATTCTCGCGTCCTCGCTCCACCCACATTTCGAGGACAGGTATGTTGTATCCTCACAGAACAAGGCTATCCCAGCATGCTTTGCACGCCGGCTGTGGATTTTCAACAGGAAGAGAAAATGGGGAGAGCTACGAAGTTTTAAACGTAAGTTTGTTAAGAGCTAGCCGTAGAAACCCAAAAAGCTTAAAGCGGTTCAGTTTACAGACATTTTTTTGTTTGTATATTTGTTTTTTAAATGACATTTTACGCAGAAATCAGCCAGAACGAGTTTGTTTCGCAGGTCCCAGTTATTGCCGTGTGTGTGTGTGTGTGTGTGTGTGTAGCGAATTAAACTTGTCATTTGTTTTAAGGACAACAGAGCAAAGAAGCATTTTTATTGAGCTTAGAGGTGAAGAGTGAAGCTGTTTACACACAACCACAGAAGTTCTTCTGTGTTCTGCTGTGAAAAGTAGTTTTACATTCAGGGATTTACACAACTGAAACGTTTTAATTAAGTAAAAATTAATTTTTATCTTCTCACGTGGATGAATGTAAAAATGTGTTTATTGCCTTTTTGTCACCTGTGATCTGATTTTCTCTGTAGGACTGCAGGTGTCCAGGGTCAGGAGAGGCTTTACCTGGTGGTCATCCTGGGAGAGAGGCCTTCTACTGTCATCATGTTAATGTTAATTAGCTGTTTGATATTTGAACACATTTAATAAAACAAATACTAACTGATAACTCTTTCTGGTTATTGATTTTATCACCAGTTTTATTATTAAATATGTTTTTGAACATGTTACATGAACAGAAAATGAAAAGATGGTAAGGAGACAAGATTATAATACATTACAATTATTTACAGATCAAAACCAGTATGGACCAGTTATGTACAGTTAAAGCAGGATGAACCTGAGTGACTCTTCCTGGATCATTTATTTAAACTGAGTGAGCAGGAAGTATTTAACAGTGCAGCTGGATCTGCAGGAGGATCCAGACTTGGATGGAGGGCTGGAGCAGACCCGTGGCTGGACGTTTCTGGCCAGAGGAACATCATACAGGACGGTCTGCAGAGAGAGCTTTGGGACGCTTCCTCTCACTGTCCACTCCATCCTCCATCTACAGGGCCTGCTGGGCTGGCTCAGATGATGGCTGTTGCATCTCTAAGATGTATTCAGAAATATGAAATGAGGAGATGGTTTATGGATCCACTGGTATAACATATGTGACTCTTCAGCAAATAAAACCACAGTGTTGATTTTAATGGAGGTTCTACATAAATGACTTGCCTATTAACAATAGTGGTGGTTTGCTGGTACCTCCTGCAGGACAGAGCACCACTGACCTCCTCCACACACATCTTCCTCAGGCTCATCCTGCAGACCCACAACTTCACCAGCACAGAGGCAGATGTGCAGAATAGTGCATGCTGACCTGTAATAGATTAAATAAGAGTTTGTTTTTTATTGAAAAACGTAAAACAAAACAACCTGCAGTACACTGGTTCTGTTCAGTTTAAAGAAAAGCAGCAGGGAATAGTTAAATAAAAACTACAGAGAATTTACATTTATAAGACAGATCTAATCATTATTAGGCTTAAGTTGAATAAACACATGCACATTGAAAATACTTCAATGCTATTTTATTAATAAGCCTGTTTTTAAAAGCATTTACCCCCATTTGATGCTAAATAAGAAGTTCTAAGGTCCAATTTACATTAGAAAACATCCTACTGCATTCAACATTTATAATGCATTTGGTTTATATTAATTACCTACATGATAATACTCTGTAGTAATGTGTTGTGTACGTTTAACAAGTTCATTATGTAGCTTAAAACATACATGAAACCATCTAACGTCAACATGTAAGTCCTGAAAGCTTCTAGAATAAACAAAGTTACTTTACCTGAAAACGGTTGTGAACAAACGCTGCTGGTGGACGGGAAGCTGCTCTAGCTCCTTAATATTCCTGCTCGAATTTCGCTTGCTTTACCATTTTTCCTTTACATGTAGCTGCCGCCACGGTTGTGATGGTACTTACGGGCCACCGTAGAAGTGAAGGCTATCCTGTCCGAATTCAGAGCCGCTGGGTTCCGGTCTTAGCGGTCTCGCAAGGAACCGACCTTGCTAGACCGGCGAGGACCCATACTCGTAAACATCCTACCCGTGGATTCGGACACACCCACAGGCTCTCAATGACATTGTGACATCATATGGTACCAGCTAATGTTCTAGAGTACCTCTTAGCCCAGGGGCGTCAAACTCAAATTCACACTGGGGCTGAAATGAAACTCTGGGACGGAGTCGAGGGCCAAACTTAATATTTTTTGAAAAAGTGACGGCAAATATGCACATTTTCTTTATCAACATATATGCAATTTTGAACCTTTTAATTTGGAAACAAACTTACTTTTGCATTAACACTGAATGTGGAATAACCAAATTACACACAAGCAAGTCAGTTTTAAATAAAAACACATCAGTGGTATTCATTACTTAATGAGCATTTTTAAAATCTATACAGGATTTATGTTTTCTTGTTGTTTATTCATTTTTCTTATTTTTTATTCTTCCTTTTTTCTCCTGTAATAAGTGTCATCGCTGCTGTGACGTCTAGCTTTCCCCACTGAGGAACAATAAAGGGATTTTCTATTCTATTCATCTATCTGCAGCCTTTCCAGTTCGTGTTTTACTGTAGGTTAAATCTTTTCTCACGGGCCAACAACAAAATAAAAATATAATTTTATCTTAAATGAAAATGGAATATCTCACCCGTTAACTTTCATGTTTTGGAGCAGAAAATGAGCAGAAAACCTAAATATTTAAAGCTCAGTTTGCTCCACTGGTTTACTGTGATGCTCACCTGTTCCAGCCAGATACCTGCATCATGGGGTTGATCTGAGCTGAGGAGGAGACTCCTGTTGTTTTGTTCATCTTCATCATAATAATGACAACATTAGATGACAACAGGTGCTCACATAGGTTTGTGCTGATGAACATGTCTGAGCAGCTTGACCACGTTGTTGTGTGTCGGGGAGGAAACACAACAACAGCAACAACAGAGCCGTGCTGGTTTGAGCGTGTCGCTGCTCGCTGGAGTTATATCAGCTCTGTCTGGACATTAGTTGGAAAACTTTCTCTTTCAGTCATGAACACATTACTGAGCGGTTAAAACCTCCGTTTCTGGGCTTCAACGTCGGAAAATAGCTGAGTGAACTCTGCGTTGAGTGAGAGGAGTGTTTAGTTTGTCTGAGACAGCGGAGCTGCAGACACTGGCAGCAGACGCTGGAAAAAACACAAAGGAGGGGCGCTTCGGCTCCGCGCTAATGCCGCAAAGCATCATGGGAGTTGTAGTCTTTGCGGTAAAATCAGCCAGTGGGTCAGTTTTAATATATTTTTGATATTTATCTCGCGGGCCACATAAAAATGCTCCGCTGGCCGCATCTGGCCCACGGGCCTTGTGTCTGACACATGTGTCCTAGCCAATAGCGATGGCAGATTTAAATTCAAATGAAGTGCAGAGTATTTATCTGACAACGGCACAACACTGACAGTTTTAGGCAGAAAATTTAAAATTTAAACTAAAATACACTTAAGTGCAAAACTATTGCCTACACGTGTCTGCAGCACGATTAGACATGCATTTATATAGTTTATCAGAAAAAAGCAGTTGATTTGGGGGTGACTTGCTCTTTAAGGGTACAACAACAACTGGGCCGCTCCTGTTACTGGCTAACACACCATTCACAACCCTGATGCCTTTTTCTGGATGGTGTCGAAATACACCAAATACATGCTGCCGGCTCAGCAGCGTTTACCAGCGTACACTTGGCAACCCTTCGGCTTACAGATCGTAAACAAAGACTACATCCCTCTTTGACTTTTTTGAAAGGAAAGGGATCTGAGATGGGTAACCAGCCAACAAAATGTACAGCAATTAGCTTTAATTTGTGGCAAATGCTTTGATCGTTGAGCTTTGCATTAGATCAAAGAGCTTTTGTATTTATACAGAAACTAGAACCACGCTGGATATGTTTGTTTTTTTTATCTCCAGGTGTGTTTTTGGTACAAAGGTGCATTCATGTTTCTGGTTCAGCTGAATGCTGATTTAATCTGAAGCTTGCATATCTCACCTTCAAACAAAGTATTCATTAGCATGAAAAACTGCAAACATCCCAGTGAGAGGATCCTTTTACCTGCTAAAAACATCCCCACGGATTACTGTGGCTGAGGTCATGCAAGTGAAACACACCTCAGGTAAAGACTGTTCTTTAAGGATGCTAATGGGACTTCTTCCCGCTCCGCAAGTGCAAAACGGCTGTGGATGGGAAAGGGGAAAAGTGACATCTGGGAAAAGTCCCAGATGAAAAGTCAGAGCTATAGGAAAAAAGCTCCCAGACAACCAGAGCTGTAATTCTAACAGCAGCTCAGGTGAAATAATCATCTCTGCTTTCTGGAAAACAACTATTTGTTCCAACGTTTCCTTGCTTATCAGAGGAATTCATCGACATTCTTCCCAAACAGATCCCGTCTTTGTTCTGGGCTGAAAGCTGAAGAAAGAAACTTAATGTGAGGTTTTATTTGGAAAAAGCAATAAAGTGGGATCGGAGGCTCTCCCGCTCCTCCGTTGTGTTCCTGTCGGGGATATCAACAGTGTCTGTATATATGAAACAGCTGGAAAAGGGGGAAAAAAGCTTGAACTCGGCTGCACTTTTCCTGCTTTCATCACTACACTCAGGATCTGATTGCATCATCCAGCTGAGACCAGAACCACAGAACCCACACTTGCCTCCCAAGTGGGGTGGATTTGGCGTGGTTGTGAAGGATGCAGAGTTACCTGGATGAGACACTTGCTGACGTCGCTGGCACAGAGGGCTTTGTTGCACCCAGAGGTCAGAGACAGCCCTGACAGGAGGAAGAGGAGAGCTGCTGTGACGGGGAGGATCAGCTGACCAGGCCTCATCCTGACGGGTCACCACCTTCCAACTGGAAAAGAGGAATAAATCTCAGAGGGAGAGTGACAGGAGGTGCAGTTACAAACACTCACCTGTTTGGCTTATTTCTAATCCAAAGTACTCAAAATGTATTAAATCTAATTGCAAACATCATGGAAATCACAGTTCTGTCATGCAAAGTTAACATTCTAAAAAGGCCTGCAGTCAGATTTCATTCAAAACATCTGGCAACATCAGCCCCCTTCACCCATTTTCTACCGGTTTCATCAAACTCTGCTCCTCTCTTCTGCCTCCCTGCTTCACATGAGGGAGAGGAAACATGTGAGGAACATTAGCTGCCTCATTCCTCTGCGCGTTTCTTTAAGCCCTCGTCTCTCGTTCCTTTTTGCTCTCTCGCGCTTAGAGAAACAAACGCAGCGAGGAAACAAAGAGATGAGGTGTTGGAAAACTCACCACAGCGCGGTTTCACAGCCGTTCAGCGTCTCTGTTCTCCAAAGGACCGACTTGTGCTTTCTCTTTGAACTTCTCCAGGATGGGGTTCCTGCCACCGCTCAAGTGTCCACTGTGTCCACAGGGCGTCAGTCTCTCCGCAGCACAAAGCGACAGGCAGTCGGGCGCCTTAAAGGCACAAGCTCCATTTTTCCCAGCTCGGCTCTGTGGAGGAAAACACCGGTCCTCAGGTCTGAGGGAGCCTGACTCACCCAGGGGGAGGAAGGGGAAGGAGAGAGAGAGAGAGAGAGAGAGAGAGAGAGAGAGAGAGAGAGAGAGAGAGGGGGGGGGGGGGGGGCTTCTTGGAGCAAAAACTCAAAATACGCTGCAGATCTGCATAAAATCCGCTCCAGCACGTGAGCGTGGTTTTATTTGCCTCTTTTCCACCCCCTCCTCCCCCCTTGACCCCCGCCCATCAGCGGCTCTGTGGGTGAGCTCATAGGTGAGAAAGGCCGACTCGGAAGCTGTGAAGCTGATCGGACTCCCCGCTGAGGAGCGACCCTCCGCGCTCATTTGTAGCCATAGACTGTACATACGTTTGTAGCCGACACGGAGAGGCTCCGAGGGGCCAATTACAGCTCCGCAGGGGCTCCTCCTCCGGCCCGAGGGGAGGAAGAGGAGGCAAATTAGCATTTTAATCAGACTCAGGGGGAGGCAGGGGGAGACGGGCTAACAGTCAGTTTGGGTCGTTTTTCAAGGGGAATGCAGAAAAATACAAAACAAGTTTGTTTAAAAGAGCTGATTTAGTGATTAATTAGTTACAAATCAGTCTAAGTAAATCATTAAATTTATGAAATAAAACAAATTGGTTTAATGTGTAAAACGTGTAGGGAGACAGCTACGTTTAAATAAACTAATTTAAGGTTTGATTTTCTTCAGATACGCTTACTGTTTTTAATTGAACAACATATTACTGAGTATGTCATTTTATTTAAACATTTAAAAATAAAAATGACCTAATTGAGTACTTTTTAATTCTCACGTGTGCATTTTAAAAAATTGAGTTTAAATGTTTCTTTGAATCTTTTTAAGATGGAGAACTAAAATCAAGTTTCAATATTTTAGAAAATTTGTATTTATTGAAAAATGAATTCGTGACAAATATACTTAAATACAAGTCTACTTTAGAGATGCCTTAAAACATCTGGAATAATTATTACAATCCTAATGTAATAATTGTAGAATGTAGAAAAAGGAATGTCACAATAATTCCTAATATTTATCATCTTTACTATTTCATAATAAATTAATATTGTAACTATTTTCTCTTGTTTTCAGTGTTTTAATAATTAAAATAAGGACATTTAATGGAGCTTTGCGCTTCTGTCACCAATAGCACCTCCTACTGGTGGAGGAGACACATTCAAGTCAAAATGAAGAACTCACACGAACCAAAATGTAATTTCACAACAAATAAAATTTATTCAATTATATACAAGTCATGTAACAAGTAAATATTAAAATAGACATTTTTTTAGAACTATCGTTCAAAAGGCATTATGTTGAAAAAATAGGATTTGTTGTGATCTCACATTGAAACTGTAAAAGTTTTTTTCTGGTTTCTTCTGGAAGCAACAACAGACTTTAATGTGTGCGAGACTCAGTGAAGAACACACGAAGGGTGAGGTCGCAAAGGAGACAATGCTGGGGAGGAAAAGAAATAAAATAGAAGCTGGAACACGTCAGAAAACCTCACAGTTAAGTCCACAATTCAGGTTTTAAGGAAAAAAGTACAAACATCGCAACGCATGCACAGCATTTAATTGCCAAAGTCAGAAACACCAGCCAGCTGCGGTGTGGAGCTCCAGATGAGGAAGGAAGAAACGGTTTTCAAAAAAAGAAGAGAACACAACAACAACCAGAACATCACGAACGAAGAGGACACTCAATATAAAAAACAACTTTGGTCCATTAAAACAGACAATAAGTTTACAATCAAAATATCTATGAATTTTGTTTTTTTTACAAGTTTGAAACAATAATTACATGACTATTTACAAATGCACATTGTTTTATGTATAAAATAAGTTAAAAATTAAGAGCACAGTCTGTACACAATATATGAACAGTCACTGAAAACAGTTTAAATCTTTCCGCTGTGTGACCCTGGCGTGATCTCCGTCCGCCCCCCCGTTGTCCTCCTATCCCCAAGAGCTCGGGAGTGAACGTCGTCTCTTTCTAAATAAGTGCTCCTTTGAGTAAGCGCCACATTCTAAGTGCTTTTTTCCTGTTTCTGGGCGAGCCGTGTCGGCCCCACAGCTCATATCGGGGTGAGGTCAAAGTCGTCATTGACCTCCACGAGCGGGATGTAGAACTCGGGGATCTCGAAGATGCTGGTGGACTTGTAGGTGGCCGGGTCCAGCTCCTGCAGCTTGAGCTGCCACTCCAGACGCTGCACTGCGTTCAGAGCAGCTGCCTCGTGTTGCTGCCTCATCAGGAGACACGTCTGGGGGGGAAAAACGCGGGCTGTTAACGCCATTCAGCTAAAAATGGTTTCTTAGCCATTTGTGCCTTGACTACAATTATGAACCTAAAAAAGAATTGGTGAAAACAACGTGGGATGGAGAGAAAAACTAAAACAAAACGATCAAGAGGATCCAAAAATCAGACACGATTCGGCGCGATCGCCTCAACCTCGACTTAAATGTCAGCAAAATGGGGAGAAAAAAAAACTGCTCAAAACGTCAGATCCTTATTTGAGAAACAAAACTTACCTTCAGTTTGTCGAACTTGTCGTCGACGTCCTGTAACCAGGACATGAACTGCCGGGCGTTGAATCGGTCTCTCACGGACGTTTTACCATCATCGTTCTAGAAAACAAAATGCAAACGTTTAGATCATCTAAAGCTCACCGGCGTGTAGGAAACCTCCGTCTCCTAGCTTCGTGTTCCTAACCTGGACATCTTGAGGCATGTTGTAGACTTCTGCGTCCAACAGGACAGTACAGGCACTGAAAGGTAGTGTCTGATTGGCTAGTGTTCTCGCTGCCCGGTAATGGACTCGTAGGACCTCCTGCTCGTTTGAAACAATCAGCTTTTCCTGGAAGAAGAACAGAAGTTCGGTCAGGAACGTGAGTCCGAACTTCCTGCAGGCGTGCGTTAAGAGTCTAAATCCACTTCGTACCCTCTCGATGCTGTGCTGCAGTCGGAGTTTCATCCGGACCACCTCTTGTTGTTTGAACATCTCTTTCAGCGGCTCAGGTAACGACGGTGGAGGAGTTATCTGAAAATCAAAACACAACGGTTGCGTTTCCATCAAAAAAGATGAGAAACTAGACTTGGTGGATTCTAGAAACTGGACAGAAGCGACTCACAGTTGGGATGCAGAGTTTGCTGAGTGGATTCCCGTCTAGGAGGTAGGATCCGTTAAAGGTCACGTATTCGTCATAATACTGTGGTGGTTGGGGCGTGACGTTGCACAACACTTTGCGCTTCTCCTCGATCTTCTTCCGTATGTGCAGGAACTCGTAGTATGGGTTGGCTCTCTCCGTCTGGTACGGCTCGATCTCCTCCAGCTTCACAGAGTCCACGATGGCAGCCAGGGACTGCTGGCACTTCTCCTTCTCCTGCTGGGAGGTGGAGCACAGCTGAGACCCCGACAGCTTGGGCATCTTTCTCTTGCGCGGATGCGGCACATGGATGTCCAACTCCTCGTTTGAGGAGCAAATCTTGAGCTGCACCCCCGAGGAATCAGACTCCCGGTCTCCGGATTGTGGAGAGGAGCTCCCCGAGGTGCTGCTGCTGTCCGTCTGAGCTGCTGGCTGGACACTGCTTTGACTCAGCTCATCTGGAGCAATCGATGATTCCAGTTGCTCCTCAGAGGGAGTGACCTCCATCGGCTCAGGATGGACCTCGGCTAGAGATTCAGACGGACCTTCTGTGCTCAGGCTGCCTTCGAGGGAAGACATCTCCATTCTGTTCTCCGAGAGCTGCGGGACATCGGCCGTCTCCTCGGATGGATGTTCAGGACTCTCAGAGGACATGTTGTCCTCCATGTGGGTGTCGGGATGGGAGCTAGTGTCGTCACTGGAAGGCCAAGATTTCTTATCGTCTGGATTATTCACCATCGTGTCCTCTTGAGAAGCTTTGGACTCTTGGTGTGGACCCGGTGAGGACACCTCTGCAGAAGAGATGGGAATCTGCAAACTGGTTGACGGAACTGGACTTGCCGCCCATTCTGCTCTTACGTTTTCTGAACTTGCCTCGATGTTTTCTTGTTCCGGACTGTCAGGGTTCTCCACAGGTTTCTCCCCACAGTCATAACCCGGTAGGTTCTCTGACTGGGTTTCTGACTGGGTCTGCTGCTGGTTCTCTGTACTGGGATCTGATGGTGGTTCTCTCTGCTGGACGGGTTCAGCGGCTGGAGAAGCTGTGGACATGACAGGTTGATCCCACTCTTTGTGATCTTCTTCCTGCGAGATGTCCATCAAACATGGGACGTCTTTCACAGCAGCTGGCTCGGAGACGGGAAAGTTCTGCTCCACTGACCCGATCTGAGCGGCACCACCCTCTGGACCTTTCACGTGTTTAACTGGAAGATCTCTGATTAACAGCTGAGTGTTTAGGCATCCAGATGTGGTTTTCTCTCTCTCTGTGACTGAATCCGAGACTGAATCAGAAGCTGGTGGACTACCGGGGCTCTGCTCAGGTTCTGAGGTCTCCTTCATTCTCGGTGCCTCTTCTGTGACTGAAAACAGGCAGGACCTGGACGGATGTTCAGCACCTTCAGCTGATGAGTTGGCGTCCTCGTCCAGGATGGCCCTGAGGTACGGAGATTCGTGTTTGACCGACAGCGGCATTCGGTTATTTTGGAGAACATCTGGAAGACTGTTCGAGTCCTTTTCGTGGGCAGATGGTGACCTGGCAGCTTGGATGACGAGGGAAGACTGGAGAAAAGCTTGCTGGGAATCTGAAGCCTCCAGGTTCACGTCCAAATCGTATTCAGTGTTTCTGGGCGTTAATGTCGAGGCCGGGCAGGAATCCTCAGAAATGGCCACGGAGACCAGAGACACGGACCTGGACATGAGGCCCCCGCGCTCGCTCTCGGGGCGAGGCGACCTGCTCAGACAGTTTTCCACAGCTGACATGACCTTTGCGCCGATGGCAGGCAGACTCCTCCCGTCCAGAGACACCGTTCTGGAGCCAGTGCTGTCTTTCAGGGATTTATCTCTGCTGTGGACGTCTGAAGCTTCAGAACTCTTTGAGCGCGCCAGCTCTTTACTCAGACACGGTTCTGGTTTGGTTCTGTCTTTAGGTTTGGACTTCCCTGGATCTGCCAGTGGCCTCTGTTTGAGTCTTTCCCGTTCTTTCTGTTTAATCTTCTCCAAATGCTTCCGATGCCACAGCTCAATCTCTTGGTCTTTCATGCTGAGCATTCGCTCAAAGCTGGTCTGCATCAGGTCATCGTTCACGAGTCGTTTCTCTTTGGGTTTAGAGTCTCGTGGAGCTGCGGGGGCTTTAGATTTGGTCCGGTCCGGGTCGCCCTCAATGGGCTTGGCTTTACTGATTTTGACCTGTTGGGAGCGATCTTTATGCCGGTCTTTATCCTTGTGTCTGTCGGGGTCTCTGTCCCTGTCTCGTCGGTCCTTCTCAGGCGTCCTCACAGCCTCCTCCTTGGACTTCAGAGATAAGACCTTACTGCTCTCAGACAGATGGCTCTTCTTATCTTCTAGCAGTAATTTCAGATTGGAGCTTGAAGAAAGACTTCCGTCTTTTATCTTATCTCTCTTTTTCCTGTCACAGTCCTTTTCTTTTAAGCGATCAGTCTTGCTGTGATCCGCAGACTTCTCCAGAGGTTTCCCTTTCCTATCAGCGGTTGGACGATCTCTGTCTTTGTAATCTCCAACGCCGTATTCCCGCTCCCTTTCAGACCGTTTGTCAAACTTATCTTTATTTTTCCTGCCGTCTTCGTGCTTTTTTGTGGCAGATAAAGATTTGAGCTTTTCATTCTCTCTGTAGCTTTTATCTCCGGGTGAAAGGGAAGAAGCAGCTGTTCTCTCTTTTTCCTTCCAACGGTCCGCTGAATTCTGTGGTTCGGCTTTGTCGGAGTGTTCCAGTTTAATCTTTTTTTCCTTGTCGAGATGTCTTTTCTCCATTTTATCAGAATCCTTTTCTTTTCCTGGGAGCCTCTTGTCAAACTTGTCACGTGAGCTTTTGTCTGAGGCCTCCAGCTGTTCCTGATCAGCTGAGATCCCGCTCACAGGTTTCTCCTCCGTCTCCTCTTTCACGCTGCTGTTCTGCAGTGATTCCTCTGGAATACGCCCCGAGCAGTGACAGTCCACCTTTTCGTCACGCTCATTCAGCTTTGAATCCTTTACCTTCTCTTCTTTACCGACGACCTCCTTTCGCTCTTTTTTCATGCCCTTTTCTTTTTCTCGCTCCTCTCTCTGCCTCTTTTCCTTGCTGCCGGAGTGCTTCTCCTTTGAGTTCCTCTCATCTTTGACAGGAGAGGAATCCGCTGCCTTCTGAAGCAGGCTGACCTCTTCACCTTCTCTTTTCACTCCCAGAGGTTCATCTGCCTCATCACTTTTGAAAAAATTTTCTTTCCAGAACTCTCTGTCGAACTCCAAATTCCTGTGGCCATCTTTCCTGGCCTCCTTTTGCCTGTGCCGGCTCCGCTCTGCCTCATACTCCCTCCTGTGTTTATCTTTCTCCTTGTGTTTAAGTTTATGCTTCTTCACTACTTTTCCGTCTAAATCGGTCTTCCGTAAGGCACCCTCGCTGCTGTCTAAGCTGTTCCCTATGCTGCCCTCTTTGTACGGACTTGAACGTCCGTCGTCTCCGTCCACACCGGAGTCTTTCTGCTGATGTTTGCTCTTCTCTCTGTGCTTAAAGCCCTTGGTGCTGGAGCTTTCCATGCTGTAATCAGCATCTGAGTAGTGGTTGTACTTGTCCACCGGGCATGAGGTGTCGCTGATGGAGATCTTGGTATTTTCCTGTTTGAGCGGACACTGTTTATCCGACAAGCTGTGGTTCAGTTTGGGAGCTTTGATGGACGACAAGTGAAAAAGGTGCACAGATGAGTCGTCTTTTGGACTGAAGGACATCTTAAAGGAGTCCTCCTCTCGACCTATTTCAGCGTTTTCTGACACGGCAGCGAGAGTGAGAACTAAAGTCTTACTGTTCTCTTTCCCGTCCTCCTGGTTCTCCTTGTTCTTGTTCTGTATTTTGCTCTTCCTCTTCACCTTGCCCTTTTGCTCAGCTCCATCCTTCTTTGACCTCATTTCAGGCTTGTGGTTCTCAGAGTTCTGCGAGCAGGTGGGCGAGTTCCTTTTCTCCGACACGCTCTCCATTTCATCGCTGGACGTGTCCGAACTGCAGTGGTGATAAGACGCTTTCTGCTTTTTGGACTTTAAGGAAGAGTCGCCCTTGTTTTGCTTCCCCGTCATATGATTTGTGTCTTTGTCCTCCTTTTCCCGCTGCCGTAGCTCCCTCCTGGGGATGTGTCTGTCATTCAGGGCTTTACTCAGATCCTGCTCCTCTTCCTCGTCCTTAAACTCGTACTCGTCCAGACTGTGTACGGATGACGAGGACTTTGTGGCTGCTTTGCCATCAGAGTCTTTTTCAGTATCTGTGTCCTCCGTGTTGTCGTCGACACTGGATGGATTTACAGATGGGGGGTCTTCGGAATCTGTGGGAAAATAAAATAATTTTTAACTCAGAAGTTTTCATAGATTATTAATAAATGTTTACAGAGGAGGGACGTTTGCACATTAATAAAACCATTAAATGGTCACACACACCACGGGGATTATGACGACAGCTTTAAGGTTTGTTGCTTTTATGTTGAGTGATTTTAAAATAATGGCTCGTATTTATTTTCTGAGAGAGTGACAGGTGAATCCTGCAGTGACTCCTACCCACCTGAAGAGCTCTCATCTTGGTCTGAAAGTGGCACCTCTCCCTTGAGAAGCTGTTCCAGCTCCTGAGAATCCGCCACGTCCACCGGCCGTTCGCCACGCTTGTTGGCTTGGAAGGCGTTACCGCCGTGGCAAAGCAGAAGTTTCACAATCTGCCGATTAAAAAAAAACAAACAAACAAGATAACAGAAATAATCACAAAAATGATGCAGTGAATTTATTTTAAAAGTTGAGGATTAAAGCTCGTGTTTAAAGGCTAACATTAGAAAACTACATTTACTTTGTGTTTAACAGAAGTTTAGACTAGTAAAACTAAACCACAGGCTTTATTTTACACTAATATTATTATCTGTGTTTAGACCGTCAAACACATTCTTTGTCAGAGCATTTGCTGGGGACTAATTCCCGTCTTACGTCTTTGTGTCCACTGCTGGAAGCGTCATGAAGCGGCGTGTCATCGTCCAGGCCCTGCGTGTTCACCTCGGCACCTGCTGCTATCAAAACCTTTGCTACGTCGTAGTAACCCAGATTACAGGCTTCGTGGAGAGGAGTCCAACCTGGAGAGAACAGGTGAAATAGAGCGTTCAGAGTTCATTCAGCCTTTTTCTTTACTTTCCTCAGAAACAACATCTACACAGGAGTTACTAAAGTGTGGACCAGCTGATCTTCACAAAGATGTCACAGCTCATGTCATTAGCAGCCATGCTGTCTTGATGAAAGCTGTTACTCAATTATCTCCTGCAGGATTGTACCTGCAAAGTCTTTGACGTTGACATCAGCTCCCAGGCTAATGAGCTCCTTAACTTGCTTGGCATCTCCTCGGATCGCTGCCATGTGAAGGGGGGTCTCCCCTCGCTCGTTCCTCTTGTTGACTTTATCCTTCTGTCGAGTCGAGGCGTTGCTGGGGACCTTCTTCTGCACAGGGGTGGTCTGCGAGGGGTGGCTGGGTGTGGAGTCTGGACACAGGAGGCAACGGACTAAACTGGTGATTTGAGCAAATACTATGCCCACTGGCCACTTAATTAGGTACACCTGTTAAAATTCTTGATAACAAATATATAATCAGCTAAAAATGAGTCATTTTAAAACATACTGATATCGGTTTCATAAGTAAAACTGGGCCGATAACAACCAATGTTATTTCTATTTTGTTCCTGTTTGGGTGTTTCAGGAGGGGGAGGGGTTGCCGTGTGACAGAGAGTCAGGGTCAAGTTTGTCTGTAGAGAACATTTAACAACAGCTGAGTTGACCTAAGTGCTTCACAGACAAAAATCTAGTTTAAAACCAAGAAAAATAAAGACAATAGAAGGAATAAATACAGAAAAACTGACTATGAAGCTAAAATAGTCCTAAGATACACCAAACAAATGAATAACAGCCAATTAATTACAATTAAATAAACTACAACTTTAAGTTTCACTAAACACTTTGTCAAATAAATAAGTCTTCAGTGATAATAGGGATAAGGAACAGTGTGGTAAGATCTACACGGAGTTGAAAGTGTAGAGATAAACATATGAATTCAGTAAATATCAGTTATCGGTCATAACTGCAGCATCAGAGATCGATTGCGGGGGTGGGGGTGGTGATTACGTAGGCGTAGGGATGGGTACCTTTGACATTTGAATCGATCCGGTACTAATTCCCGGTACCTATGAATCGATACCGGTACTTAACGGTACCAATTTTCGATACTTTTGAGTGTTTAATATTTTAATTCTCTTTTATAATTAGATATACATTTTTTTCAATTTATAACCATATTTGATAAATATCACAATAAATAACATATAACTGTTTGTATTTTAACATTGTCCTTGTAGTTTTAGATGCTGATAATTAAACTGAAGCAAACATCTTTACTGTGAACTAAATTTACTGTGTATCTTCATTCCTTTTACCGTCCTTTTTCATTTGATTTTTCCTACTGGAAAGTTAGAATTTCTGCGGAGAAAGCGAACGCACCATTAGATGACAACAATGGTGACAATGGAAGCTAACATATCAAGCTAACGTTATCTTAAACAGTTTATTTAACTGCTGGAGCAGATTAAAACGATGATGCCTCACAATTAAATCGTTGTCACTGGTTTCATCTTCACCCAATCACCCGTCACATTTAGTAAAGTGAAGCCAAACTTTAGTGCGTGTTCGTGTTCTTCTAGTCGTAATTTCGGAGTTCCGAGGAGAAAGCGAACGCACCATTAGTGAAACGGAAGCTAACAAATCAAGCTAACGTTATCTTAAACATTTTATTTACCTACCAGAGCAGATTAAGATGAGGATGTCTCACTTAGATCGTTGTCTGTCGCTGGTTTCATCATCACCCAGTTACCCATCACATTTAGTGAAGTGGACCCAAGCTTTAGCTTTCGTTCTTTCTACCCATGCTGCTCTGTTCACAACTCGCTCGCAGCGACCGATGACTTAACGCTCTTGCGCATGTGCAGCTGTCTAGGCAAGTTCTCGTTGTGAAGGATGGGTACCGAAACGAGGCACCGTTTCAAATGAAGTGAATCGGTGCTCGGTCGGTACTGTGGAATTCGGTCGGTACCTTAAAAATGACCAAATTCGGTACCCATCCCTACAAGCGGCAATTTTGTGTTCAAGTAAGACCTTACCAACGGATGCCCATTAGGGTCAAAAATCCCTCAGAGCACAACCTCCAGCAAAATGACATCACACCAGACTCCCTTTCCTCACTGGTAACAAGCGAAGAGGTAAATGTGTAAAACAACAACGTTCATGTATGGCAAAAGTTTTGTAACCGCTTGCTACAAGTCAGTAAATGTGTTTTGTCCTCACAGGCTCCCGTAGAAGGAAACATGGTGTCTAATATGGCTTCCCTTAGAGACTTAGGCCTGCTCTCGTGTATTTTTGACACAATTTTTATGGTTATATGTTACGAAACTGCTATTCATTTTCAACAACATTTTGATGGATGTTTCCAGATATTAATAGTAAAAAAATACACATCGTCTCTTTAAAACTAAACCTATTTAAAGAGAAAGCCAGTTTAGCTAAACAACAGTCTGGTGCACTATGGGGGATAAACAGTCCACATGTAAGAGCTGGCAGGAAAAGCAGCAGCATCCCATCCATGATAAAGAAGTTGAGTGTGTAAAAATGAATAAATAACCCTGCTGAAGCACCTGGTTATGGTCCAAGTTACCAAAATACAAAACAAAGTTTGAATTTGGCCACAATTATATTTCACACCTGAGAAGTTGTAACTAAATTCTTATGACAAAGGAAGACGTTAATCTTCACAAACCTGGACTGTTGGCCGTCATCTGCATAAGAAGAGCCATCTGTTTGCGCTCTGACAGCGGATACCCAAACAAAAGGTTTGATGCCTGAGACTTTTTGCCCCCAGCCTCCTTCTTCACCTTCTTCTTATCTGGTCCATCTTTATCTGCAACACAACCCAGAAGGAGCTTAAAAGCAGCCCAGATCATTGATCATTCTTTTTAAACAGCAACCAGACTGTTACAGTAACTATTTCCTCCACCTCTTGTATCTGTTGGGCACCCAGAAAAACAGATGACAAGCATGAGGTTAAAAAGAAAATAGACAGCATTCTCTTAAGCCGGTCAGACACAGAACCCCTTCCCCTGGTTGTTATGAAACACAGACATGCTGAGCTGTGATAGGGGAAGATGCAAGGCCAAAACACACACACGTGCATGTGTGCGCGTGTGTGTTTACAGCGGAGTAGCAGCGCGGCGAGACTCGATGAGGACATGGGGCAGAGGCTCGGCTCTGGCTGCAGCGGTTACCTGCGTATATCCTGCAGGGAGGCACTAATCTCTCTCCCCAGGTCTCACTCGATTGGCCTGGGTCTGAGTCATCTACAGTGCAAAGCAGAGAGGGTGGGGGGAGGAGGGGAGATCAAGGAGGAGGAAGTGGGAGGGTGGGACAGCACTGCATTAACGCTCACGCTCTCACACCCTCCTCCTTCCACATGTAGTCAAACACAGACAGGCACAGTCGCGCTCCGCGCCACAGATTATGAGTCACAGCAACACAGGAGGCAGGAGAAGGGCTCCAATCAGGTGGTCGGCGCCTCCTGCAGGACCGGACAAACACCGGGGACAACTGCTGCAAGGAAAACCGCCCTCAGAGCTAGTTTACCTCCATAACCTTCGCCACATCTAATTACGATTCAATGAAAGGTTTTCTACTCCTGAAGCAGGACCACACAATGAAAATCTCTGCTCTACAGAGATGAAGGAAACCCGTCAGACCTGCAGCTCTCTGTAAACACCAACCTTATTTATTATAATTATCGCACCACACAAACCTATTTTTGCTCTCAGATCTGATGTAAACACATATTTATGTTTCTAGAAGAGCGATGGGAGCAAAGTGGAGCTTGCACCAGTAGGAAGGTGGGATTAGGTGGCCACGGAGAGCGGGTCAGAAACGCATCTCAGTCTACTATCCCAGTCGTACCGGAGAACGTTTGAGGAAACTGAAAACAATCACACACCCATTAGAAGAAACAGTGCGTTTTATTTTATAACCAATAAACTAAACATGTAAGCTGCACCATAAAGCAGATGGACAGACTCGGAGCGAGACAGTATGTGTTTACAGAAACAAAAGGATGAATTAGACACAGAAACGATGCAACCGATGAGCTTTTAACAGTTGGGAGGGAACAATAAAGGCCCTTATTATGGAATAGGCGGGCTGCACGCGCCACAGCGCCACCTCAGTTTGTTTCATCACATCTGATCTGATGATGCATACAAATAAAGGAAAAGATAAATTATTACTTTACTACTTAAAGAATACTTTTTCAGGATTCCTGTACTAAATGTGCTTCATGCTACTAACGTCGGCAAGAACACAAAGTGAACGACTCCCATCACACAGAGACATCAATGTTCAATAAGAAACGGCTAAAAAATCTCGTTCTTTAGCTGCATGTGAGGAAAAACAGAACAGAACATGAGATCATTTTGACTAACGCTCATCTTGTTACCGCGACAACAACAAAAACATCCCACTCAGCGGTGATGTCCCAAACGGCTGAAATCTGCACTTCTGAACTCATCCGGCTCTAATTTTCACAGGAAGATCCAGTAAACAGCGGAAATATTACCAACATAAAACTTTAATATAAATGTCATTCCAGACGAAACAACAAAGTTCAGCAAAACACAAAAACTGCAAAAAATATAAAGTAAATAAAAAACATGAAGTTGCTTTCTCCAATTCAGCCTTTATTCTACTTTAATAAAAAATAATCGTTCTGTCTGAGATGTATCCAATAACCTTCCAAAGGCTGCCACAGATTACAGAAACACATCTGTCAGGTTGAGTCTGGACCCTGAAGGTCACTAACAACCCTTCATCGTCCACCAGGAGGCAGTGTGAGAACATGGCAGCGAGCCAGGAGGACTCACCGGTGTCCGAGTCCCGCTCTTCAGTCTGAGGCGGACTTGTAGTGAAGGAAAGCTTGCGCTTCATGGAAGATTTGGCTTTCCCTTCCTTCCCCAACAATTCACTCCGGTCCAACTTTGGAGTTTTGGTGAAGGGCGACAGCTTGTCTTTGCTCTGTCAGAGGACATAAATGAAAAATACAGTCAGGTAGGACAAACTTAGAAATCTGTGTATGTAAACAACACAGGCGTTAATGGATCACTCATTCACTAAAGCTGTCAACCGGTGCAAAGCGTTGAGACTGTGTCAAAGAGGAATCAAAGCCTGCAAAAACAGGACACTAATCTAAAGGTGCATATAATTTACATCACAGGAAGCAGAACACAGGTCTGACTGCATGACCGACTAACGCGTTGCCTCAGAAGCAAACGAGTGTGGAAGATGAGAAGCAACTCTTTTAATCCGGTTTCCTAATAGAAATAAAACGATGCAGGAGATGGGAGTTCATCTCCATGTGAAAATATCTGCTGCACTCGTGCAGACTTTAAAAAATGGTTTCTCCCAACTTCGAATGAATGGCATGCACACCAGTCACATTTTTTATATTTGCAGACCCGTCTTAGCAATACTAAAAAAATAAATAAAATAAAATAAAAAAAATCAACATTCTCACATTCTCAACGTTTTTAAATGAACATGATCTGGATTTTTCTCAGACTAATTTTTTTTACATCAACATGAAAGACCAATGAAGTAAAACACCTAAAAATCAAACAACACCCAAAGCAGTAATCCAGTAACATCCATATTATCCCCTTTCCCCCTTTTAGTATATTTTTTTAACGCTCTGATCTGCAGACAAAGCCTTTTCAGCGTCATTACTTTTATCGAGTTGCACTGTGGTGCAGTAAAATACATTTCTGGCAGAAGGAAAATGTCTGCAGCATGGTGCTTCTTTGATCTCAGTGAAGAACTCTGCCAGCTGCACAAAGCTGAAGTGCCTGGCGCTGTTGAAAGCAGATGAGCGCCTAGATGTGAAGTCCTTTAGCTTGAAAATAAAGATAGATTTCCTTTTAAAGTAAGAAAATAGAGAAAAGCTTACTGTTAGAATCTCACTTTCTAACACGTTGGTGCATAACTGCTAGGAGTGGCCGATGTCCATTTTAGCGTTAATTTACCAAGATCAGACCAGTGTAAGCGAAGGTTTTGTTGTGGAGTGAAGATTAAAGTTGGTATAGAGGTGTGTGTAAGGCTGCCAGCACCCAGCTGTTATTACTCCAGTGAGTGAGTTATGTCTGTAAACAAAAAAATCACTTTTAAATCAAAGAACACTTTATACAGATGATCAAAGGAATTTGTGTTTGTGTGCAAACGCATTCCCCAAAATGTTATTGTGTGTTAGTCGTCAGTCTGCATAAGACCTCTGGACGCTGGAAGGAAAAACAAAAAGGATGGGTAGATTTAGTAGCTTACAAGTAAAATCTGCTGTTTTTTCACATGGAAGAGTTAGCCAAAAAGAGGCTAACGCTAGCTGGTTTTCTGTCTGTTTGGGTCACAGCATCAAAACCTCCTCAGAAGTTGTTTTCCCGTATCATAAATGTTAATGCTGCTTTCACATTTGGGCATCTGTTCGGGTCCCGTCTTGGTAGGTTTTGTTCACACACACTTCTCAGGAAGACAAAAATCTCCGAGCACATGGGCAGGTCAAAAGATGCGGAGAGAAGTCCGTGGTGGCTCAAACGGGGGCATTGAGCAGACTGTCTCCGATATTGCATCCTTGTGCCGGGCAGCTCAATCCTCAGCAGCGCCATCTCTGTGTTTGTGTGTACTCCTCAGACAGAGGCGGCTTCATTCAAAGATGTTTCGTTACGTGCTGTGCCCCTTTTCAGCCACAAGATGGTCCCATAGGCCTTTGCCTCGCCTGTCTCCCGGTGCCCCAGCTGTTTGGAATCAGAAATCACTTGGCAGCTGTTAAAAGCTGCCTTCCTGCTCTAGGTCGAGGAGAAGGTCCAAGGGTAGAGTAGACTGGAAACAGTTTATTCTATTCTCTTCTCCTCGTTCGCTCTTTGGTAAAACTCGTCATAATTAGTCTTCGGTGCTCTCAGTTTTGGATTTGAAGCTGCGCCTGGCTCGCTTGAAGATGGAAGCGGAGGAAAGGACTCTCGAAAGGACCCTCCGTCATGAAATGGAGCTAAAAAGACTAGATACTGAGGATCGTCTTCGGGAAATCGCACTACAGATGAGGACGCTGGAGGCTGCCGCTGCTTCGAACCAGACGGCTGCCGGCCCTTCTTCGCCTTTGTCTCAGTCGCCGCATGAACTGTCCCGAGACACTATGTCTCCTCCGGCTACCGCATCGTTGCCGCCCGCCTTCGACGTCTCAAAGTGTGTTGCCCTGCTTCCGCCCTTCCGGGAGACTGGGGCGGATAGGTATTTTCCTGTTTTCCAGCGGATTGCGGTGACCCTCCAGTGGCCTCGTGAAGTGTGGTCGTTACTTTTGCAATGCAGGCTCACAGGTAAGGCCCTTCAGGTTATTTTGGCTCTGTCTCTAACGGACAGTTCTGATTATGAGTGTGTAAAAACCGCCGTCTTAAATGCATATGAACTCGTTCCTGAGGCGTATCGTCAGCGTTTTCGTTTTGAAAAATCTCGGCCCAACCGAACTTATGTTGAATATGCTCATGAGAAATCAGTCCTCTTCGAAAAATGGTGTTCCGCTTCAGGGGTAGACTCCTTAGCTGACCTCAAAGAGCTAATTCTGGTGGAGGAGTTTAAAAGACATGTACTTGAGAGGCTCGTTTTGTACCTAAACGAGCAAAAGGTCTCAACTCTTTCGGCTGCTGCACAGCTAGCAGATGAGTTCAAGCTAACTCATTGGTCTTGGGAGTCCAGAACTGACCCCGGTCGACGTAGGAGATCCTCTGACTCCTCCTCTGACCCTAGAGACCTTACTGAGTGTTTTTATTGCCACGAAAAAGGTAATTTCATTAGGGATTGTTTTAGTCTCCAGCGGAAAACCCGGAGGAGCGTGAAACCGCCTTCACCGAAGCCCGTAGCTGCTTGTGCTGTTGTCTCAAACAGGTTAGATAACTGTGAAACCCCTCACTCGAGTTTTAAGCCATTTTTGACTGCTGGAGTGGTGTCTCTGTTAGGAAGCCATATTGGCCAGGATGTAGTGATTTTAAGAGATACCGGAGCTGCTCAAACCCTGATGAAACGGAATGTGCTACCGTTTTCCGTAACCAGTCGAGCTGGTTCTTCTGTGTTGTTGCGGGATGTTGACTTGGGCTCTGTTCCAGCGGAGGTTCATTATATTCACCTCTCCTGCCCTTTGATTACTGGTGACCTAAAGGTAGCCATTTTAGAGAAGCTACCGATCCAGGGAGTAGACATGATTTTGGGAAACAACGCTGCTGGTGGATTAGTTTTGCCTCCTCCCGAGTCCATCTCTCGTCCAGAAACCTGTGCCGACTCAGATTTACCGCCTGTTTGTGTCATAACCCGTGCTCAGCGTAAGAACTCAGAAAAGTCCCTTGGTGGTTCAGTGTCCCCACTGCTAGCTGATGACGTCACCTGACCAGATTCGGCTGTAAAAATGCCTGATCTTGCCTCTAGAGGTCCTCGTGTGGTTTTGTCTGTTTCTCATAAATCGTTGGCTGATGTTCAGCAAACAAATCTACGTCTGACGTCCCGTTTTGCTCGAGGGAACCTTCTCGGTTGTGGCCCAACCTCTGAAAACCGTGTTGAGTCCTTGCATTCATTTATCAGAGGCCCCGGAGATGTCAAACCGTTTTGTGTCTCTGCTAATCCTCATTGGTTGTGCTCCCGTTCTAGTTGCTCCAAATCTCTCCCTACCTCTCCAGCTGGAAGTCTACGTCAGCCAAGAAGAGGCTGGAGCTGTCCTCATCCTGGAGGATGACACCGGACCTGGTCTTCCACTGTTCTGTTTCTCTGGGAAGTTCAACCATGCAGTTCTCACTCAGATGGACAGGAAAAATTTCTCAGAGCCTGAGAAAAAAAAAACAATGTATTGACGCCTATTTCTTTCAGGCTCGACCCTCTAGACTGGCCAGCGGCTGATGTGTTGGACCCTCCTGTTCCAGGAAGTCAACCTGGAGATTCGCCATAAGAAGGGCTCTGTCATCCTCATCATGACCGCTTCGTTACGTGGACTTAATTATGAGGCTCCCTTGTAGGGTTTTTTGTTTTTAGATGTCGGATCCTCCTATAAGGCTAGTGTTGTCTGTGAAAGCTGACATCTCAGGAACACTCCGCTGGGGATCAGCACAGCGTGATACTTAATCTGCCCGCCTTGAGAAGATCCAGGGGTAGTTAGTTTATAGGGCTGTAGCGACGCATCGATGACGTCGACGGCTCGATTCTAAAAATTTGTCGACGTCAGATCCGGAAGTCGACGCACCGCGCCCACTTGTTGCATCCCCAGGAGTTTGTAAATAGAGGAGGAATCTGCCTGTTTTTCCTCTAGTTCGCCCTCTTCTCCGCCTTCACTAACATCTCCGCCAAATACCGAAGACCCGGAACAATGTCCGTCCACTACTAGATTATTTTCCTGTTTTGCCCGCCTTCGTCTCCCGGCAACGGACAACAACTTCCGGGGTCAGATGCGCTGCTTCGTGTCTACCGCAGATGTAGAAAATCACCGGGAGCGTTTCTCCCTTCATTAAGGAGCTTCTTTCGGACATGAGGAGAGCTGTTTTGGTGGTAGCAGTCTCTCCTCCGTGCTGGTCTGTTTGCTGCTGGGTGTTTTTGGTTTATTTAAACGTGGTAACTTGAACTTAACGTTGGTAAAGCTACTGTTAGCATCTTCGCTAACAGCTTCTTGCGTTTGGATAAGCTGTTACGTTTTGGTTTAGAGTTCATCTTTTTTGTGGTGCAGATCTCCCTTTTATTACATTTAGAGTGTTGTGGGTTTTCGGTTTAGTTTAAAATATCACCTTGAGTTTGGTTTAACCACCCAGTTTAGAGTTTGGATCCCTACTTATTTGTACTTTGTTTTAATTCCCCACAGGCAGAATTAGTTTTATTATTCCCAACCTGTGGATGGAAAGATTTATGATTTTTGTTGTTGTAAATAAACCTGATCATCATTTTAACTTTTAAATCCCGTTATTGTCCCTTCCTTTTTGCACACGAGCCAAACTCCCCAGGAAGGGTCGTAACACCACTCCCCTCCCGCACATAAGTGACCAAAACAAAGCAGCATGGAGACACTCCATCTTCTACCACCTCTCAGGCAGCAGCCTGCACTCCCAAGTTCTACACGTCACCAGAACATAACCAACCGCAACACAATAAAAGCAGTGTTATACAAAATGGAAGGTCTGTAGTGTTTATTCTCTTACAGTAACAATTTATCAATTTTTTTGAGGAATTTATTTGAGATTTTCTGGTTTTTGTTAATTGTGCAATAGAAAAATAATCATTAGATTAATTTTCTAAATAGTCATTAGAATAGTCGACTATTCGATAAAATAATCGTCAGAATAATCGTTTTAAAAATAATCGTTTACCCCCAGCCCTATTAGTTTAGTTAGTGTTTTGTGTGTTTAGCTAGCGGGAGACCTCGTTCCTTTGAATAAATGTTGGCCCTTTTGAGACCCCCCATTTATTCTCTTAAGTGGGGGGGGGGGGGTGTTACGTGCTGTGCCCCTTTTCGGCCACAAGATGGCCCCTTAGGCCTTTGCCTCGCCTGTCTCCCGGTGCCCCAGCTGTTAGGAATCAGAAATCACTTGGCAGCTGTTAAAAGCTGCCTTCCTGCTCTAGGTTGAGGAGAAGGTCCAAGGGTAGACTGGAAACAGTTTATTCTATTCTCTTCTCCTCGTTCGCTCTTTGGTAAAACTCGTTATAATTAGTCTTCGGTGCTCTCAGTTTTGGATTTGGATTTAGGATTTGACAATTCGGCAATTTGACTTCGGACCACATTTGACTTAGGCTTTGGATTTCCCCTTTTGTGTAAATAGTATATTCTCGGTTGTTTACCCCCATCCCCTTCTGGGTTGGCGTTTTTGGTTTCTCCTTATTAAATATTGCTCCTTTGGTTTTGTATATAGTATTGCTTTTTAATTCTTTGTAAATATTCCATTCCTTTTGTAATAAATCCCTTGTTTTATAGCGACACAGCACTCTTGTTTATTATTAAATCCACACACCACTTTTATTACTCCCCTCCTCATCTCTCCTAGAGAGCCGGGGACGTAATATGTTTACTCCTCGTTATCCAGAATGATAATGAATCGCGCATGCAAAGCCCCAGCTGGAGTCTCCCCCGATGGTAGACGTGAATTTGGGCCGACCAATCAGTCAGTAGTGTGTGTATCTTGTCAGTTCAGCTCAAAGCAGACCGCCTTGGGATGTGGGCTGAAAAAACGACCGGTTTAACACAGAAATTAAACAAATAAATAAATAAAAACTGGCTACCCAAATGTGGACACTGTATAGCAGGCGTGTCCAATCCTGGTCCTGGAGGGCCGGTATCCAGCAGGTTTTGTGGTTTTTCTGCTCCAACAGGCTTGATTATGTGGTTGAAACACCTGTGCAGCAGCTCATCAGGCTCTGCAGAAGCATATTAATTAGCTGCTGATTGAAATCAGGTGTGTTGAAACAGAGTTCAAACTAAAACATGCAGGATACCAGCCCTCCGGGACCAGGATTCGACACCCCTGCTGTATAGCATACCTAGGTGGGACTGATGCGAGAGCGGCTTTAGATAATGATCTGTTTTTATTTTGCGCTTAAGAGTTGTTGGATGCTGGAAGCCTGCAACACACCTCTTCACCTCAGCTAACTAGAACTCGCCTCCTCCTGTCCCCTTCATGTCTCACGCTCATCACACACACACACACACACACACACACACACACACACACACACACACACACACACACACACACACACACACACACACACACACACACACACACACACACACACACACACACACACACACACACACACACACACACACACACACAGAGGCTGTAGTGGATAAAACAGCCTCTCCATTATAAGCATTTTTGTAGAATGTAAAAACTAATTAAGTTAGGAAAAACCCAGATTTGTTGGATTACACCCATATTTTAACAATCCTACAACATAGACCCACATTAAGGAACAAGCTCCTTAGTTTGTTTGGAGCTACAGAACTTGGAAAGATTCATAAGCCTGTTTCAAAAAACAATGACGCCATTTTACTGCAAAGGTGAGCCAGCATCATGGAGCCTTTGGTCATTCATAAGTGGTCAGCCTGTGGTGGCAATGTAGTGTTTTCATGCGTTTTCCACAAAAGATAATGTTATGGTGGGATAAAGGAGTTTGAGAGAGAAGTTTAATAACATCAGAGATGCCACTGAAGACATTTGTGGATGCTGCAGCAGCAGCAGCTTGGCAGCGCTGGTTTGCCATCTCAGCTGATAGTTTACAAATGCAAAAACAACTTCCCATGCTGGCATATTTAAAATATTGTTGCCTGCCAATGCTTGCATTTACGCACCTTCTTCCCCGCCTGCTTATCCACCATGGCTCCATCTCGGTCGCCCCCAGGTTTGGCCATGGTGCGACACCTGACTAGCTTAGACACCTACAGCACAGTCGGCTCATCATGCACCTGGAGAGAGAAAACAACAGCGGTGAGAAGAATCTAAACTCAACAGCACCTGATGAATCCTGAGAAACAAACAAATGTCTCTTATCGGAGTTAGGATTTTTGCTAAATGTCTCTTGCTGACCTAATCACAAAGGAGCGAAGCAGTAGCTTGTGTGAGTGGAGTAGTAATCAGGGATTTTTATTGAAATTTCCATTGAGTGACTTGGAAACGACTATATGAAGGAGCATGAATCACAGCTTTAGGGACTCTTCTGCCTGGTAGAGGAAAACATCCCCCCGTAGGTTATCACTATCACACACTCATCTGCATAACTGAGCTTCTCTCTGATGTGGTTGGTGACTGAAAGCAGCAGCAGAGGTGGCGTGGTGCAACGTGGACACCTTCAGTCCAAAACCAAACACTCAGCTGAATCCACTCGACTAGAACATGACGTTTTCAGTCATAAGGTCATCTTCTCGAGTACTTTGAATGAACTTTCCTGCTTCGCTACAACACTCATCCATCGCTTGGTTAAACAGAAACAACCTCTTTCCCCTGTGAAAGACTCACAATACGTTTATTCTAAATTAGGAGCATCTTTCTGGGACAGCCCCATTACTCAGTATTAATTCTAACGTGTTTTACAGGCAACACTTTCTTTCTCAGGTTGTTTTTAGTTCTGAACATCCTCCACACAGAAAGCACCACTTCAGAGGCGGTAAAGCACTAAAGACCACAACAATTCTATTTTCATATGCACAGGCCAGGGTTTCTTCAACCGAGCTCAAACATGCAGTTAAAGGTGTGATTCACTGAAAAAACATTTCTTAATCATTATTTCTGCTTATAATCGGTCACTCTGAGTTTCCATGCAGACTGAACAACAAAACAGTCTCCTACACCTATCTCCTACTGGGTTTCCCCCAGAAAATGAGTTAAGCCTGGCGGCTTCGGCCGTGGGTGGGGGGTGGGGTGGGAATCGTGCACTCCGTCCCGCAGTGCTCCTCTGTGACAGAGGGGGTGAGGGTGGGGTGGTAGCACACGTTCCGCTGCCGTTTCTCACCAGTATCAGCTGATGGAGGGCTCTAGTTTCGCTGCGCCGTTCATGTCAGCGGACATGGTAGGGTCGGGGAGGGGGGCGGAGCATGATGCTTAGCCTGGCGGGTGGGCAAGCAAAGCCTGGCGCCCCGCCAGGCTTATAAAGCGCTGGGAGAATCCCTGTCCTAAATGAGCTTCTGATAAAAAATAGACAGTGAAACTCTAGGATTAGAAAATCCTCACAGATCTACGTCACACTGTCACTTAGAATTCACGGACTTACCCAGAGTACAACTTACAAAGCATTCATACTACTAGAGAGTGCTGCAAATGTATCTATTAAACAAGTGAACCACACATTTAAATAACCCCGAAAGAAATAGGAGCTTTAAAAAATTACTGTTGGGAATGTGGCAAGATCACAATATTAAACAGAAAAAATCCAAGATAAAATTAGACTCCATAGAAAAAAAAAAACTTTCAAAGACCAAAAATATTTAGGATGACTGGATATAATACTGTCAAGAGCAAAAACTTTTTCTTTCAAATTCGAACACCTCCAAAATAAGTTCACAGATTTTACATCAGCAACAATTTACACATGTACATGTGAAACTATATGCTCGTTTGAAAACAAAGTTCAGTTACAATTTCAAGAAATTCATCAGATTCACTTAAAAAACCTTGAAAATTGCAAGAAAATTCAACCATAAAAAGGATTCCAAGCACCTGCAAGAACCCTATAACTAAAAACACAACCCTTATCCAGTCGTAACAGTAGCATTGTGTCGGGGGAGAACCATTTTGGTATCTTAGCCAAGGACAGTGGGATCGAATCACTCACCCCTGTAGATTCCACCTTTGTAATTTTTATAAATTACATTTTGGCCAAAAATTTGCATAAACTGCTCGATTTAAACGCTTTTTAATTCCAAAATAATTACACACCAGACCCAACTGCCAACGCAGATTCAGAAAACTAATCAAAAAATGCGATGAAAGGTGCCAAACATCTTCGAATCACACATTATCCTGCTAAACCACCATAAGTGCATCGATAACAACAATAAACCCAAAATAAAAAATGGTATCTTTACTCAGGTTCTCTGTGGTGTTTTCAAACTCAGAAATTCTGCAGCATTTTTGCTTGAAATGCACAATTTGCTATTAAGTTATTTGGCTTTCTTTTCCTACTACAAAATCCTGTAACACTAAGCTAAAAACGATATTACTTTCTGTGCAGCAGATGCATGCTGTTCATGTCGACCCACAGGAATGTAGGGAATCTTTTTTTTTTACATCAAGAAGCATTTTTTATATTAAACCCCCAACTCCACAGACTAAAGTCACGCTGCATTCAGGTTTCGTCCTGAGAATCAAACATGACAGCGCTGAAATCAGCACAGTCAGAGAAACCTGACGGTCTGCTTCCCAGGCATGCAATAAAACAAACACAACAATCAAGAGACCAGTAAAAGATCACAGTCATACGGGACAAATATTGGGCATTTAAAGAATTTATAGCATTTTCAACTTTAATTCACAAAGTAATTCAAACCAGTGGCATAAACTCAACAACCGTACAGCTTTTAACAATAAAAGAGATGCTCAGTTCTATGTGTCCTTTTTAGATGATCAAAACATGCTTTATTTGGATAAAATATAAACTTTCCAACATCAGTTTAAAGATAGGGATGTTCTGATTCGATGAACAGAAATTGGAATTGATCACTTGATTTACAAAGGGTCTGGAATTGGGTGGAAAAGAGCAGATATCATAATAAAATAAAACAAGCATGACCTTTAAAATTTATCCTGAGATGGAGATTTCAAACACAATGGCTTAATTGCTCAAGTTTCTCTACATCAAGATTCCTTGTTGCATTAACGACAACACCTCAGTCACAGGGGGGATTCAGACACCAACTGTGAGCTAGCCGGCTAATGGATCGCTGAAGTATCGGATCGGGATTCAGTATCGGCAGATACTCAAAATCAAATCACTCAGACTTGGATCTGGGGCAAAAAAATGTGATGGGAACATTTTAATTTAAAGAAACTGATTTTGTAACAAGTGGAACTTTTAATAAGTGATCATTTGTATAACATATATACTTGCAAATCAAACCATTCTGCATCATCTTCCGTCTACCTCGACTGCTTGGATCTACTTTTACATTTTGCATATTCACACCCAACACTCTGGGTTTCCTTATTCTTTCTGTGATGTAGAGTGAATCTTTGTCAGTTCACCAAGCATAATTAGTTATATGCTAGGAAATAAGCCCCAACACATTGTCTTTGTGAAAAGAAAACTACTTAATGTTCAACAAAAACCATAACTAGTTTTGAATATTAAAGTTTGGTATCATGCTCATACTTAGCATAAAAAATGTCTTTAAATGAATGCAAATCAACCAAAAAGACACCAAATGTAGGTGTACAGTTAACTAAGGAATGGGATCCATCCATCCAATGATGGCTAGGGAATTCCAGCATTTAGTTTTTCCAGATACTTTGACAGTGTTTGCTGATCCAGAGAGTTAGAACTGTGTTGGCAGGTTCTGCTGCACAGCTGAGGCCAGCAAGCGGTCAGTCGTTAGTCAGCAGATAGCCAGTATGCAGAATCACAGTTATTCAGGCGGCTGAATGAGAGAACAGCCCACAGAGAGGATGGGGGCATTAAAGCAGTATGGACAGGCCGGGACCAGACCGAAAAACAAACGCTGACAGGAGTCCAATCTGGCCCAGAAACAGGCGAGGAGGGTGTGACTATAATCACAGAGGTATTTGGGTACCCGCCAGTTCTGGCATTCACGCTCATAGCGTTTGACGAGCAACTCCGGGCTGCATGAGCCTCCACCAGCTTTGCCATTAACCTTGAGCCGTTTCAAGTCCAGATCAAACCCCGCCTTCATGACTATGTCGGCTCACGGAGACTACAGCTGTGGTTACTCTGGCAAGAGATCTCACATGGCTAAAACGCTAGTTAGCAACAATTATCTACTGAACATCGCTGGAAGAACAAAAACTGTGGAATCAACAGAGAAAATAATAACAGGAGGTTTAATAGGGATGTGAAGCTTGAAAGATTCAGGATACAGAGAAGCCAATAAAAAACACAAAACAATACTAAACTTCGCTTAATATATACACATTTAAATTCCAAGCAATCTTTTGTTTCTCAGCTTTGAAAATATGTCTGTTTTGAAATGGCTAAAATAAAATAAATGACTGAATTTTAGCAATTTTAAATGATCAAAACACAATAATTGTCAATTCATATTTAAGGACCAAATTCAAATTCAAATCAAATAATTTGTAAGATTTATTTAAAGATGTCCAATTCAAAAACTAAAGAACGCAATTATAAAATCCAGATTCTGAATCTTGAGAATTTTATGTTTTATTAGCTAAAACAAAAAAAAATTATCTTAAATAATCAGTCTTTTGTAAATTTTCATTAAAAAAAGGTTTGTCGGCAAAACAGATAATTATGCTCCAATTAATCAACATAATAAAGATAACAGTTTGTTTTCTTCTCTGATTGCTAGTCTTCCTCAGCAGCACCTGCTGGGTGGTTTTACAGGCTGCTTCATTTCTACCCAATATCAGAACTTAAAGACGGATCATCACCAACCCTGGCTTTCCACCGGATGTGAAATCGACATGCAACGCATGTGCAGGGCAGTACGCAGCCAACAGCCGCCTTAGTAGTTAGTGGGTGTGATTCTGCCAGCTAGGGCTGCAGCTATGGAACATTTTAGTATTTCAATATTCATCGAATCCTGTGTTTATTAATCGAATATTCTATTCAACAACCTTTTAAGTGAAACGAGACTGTGGTCTGCTACTAAAAATATGAAGAAAAAAAAAAAGTAAGTAAATTCTGATGCTGAAATGCCTCTTATTATAAAATGCTCAATGTTATGTATTAGATTTGTGTTGTCTAGTTTCCCCTTTCCCATCTGATTATTATAGT